TTCAAATGTTTATTCATCTCGTGGTGAATTTGAACTAGGAAGAGATAATCAACATAGGCAAATAAACAAATTAAAACACAAGGTCAAAGTAGGATTATCATGGACTGAAGTAAATGGTGAATTAGTGGTAAAAAAAAGTTTTTTTCTAAACAACATTAAGATATAATTCATGAAACTATCGAGTATAGAAAGAATTCAACAAAAAAAAGATATTTGTGGATGTATTTTACATGCATTCGAACTATCAATATCTGGACCAATCAACCTGAAAATAGTAGCTAGCTTTTAATAATCTCTCTGAGAAATTAGTCAACATCGACTTTTAGCCGTATTATATCCTTATAAGAAGAAAAAAGTAAAATTTACCAAGTAGAAATAATGACCGTTTGCCTTCTAATCTATTACTCAAATTTTTTATAGAATATACCAAAAAGGTAGATTATCGGCAACTGAAAAAAAAATGCAATATTTAAAATATTGTTTATCGTCTATATATTGAGGTTATGTAGTGAAACAAGGATGAAAAGCGACATATTTTTTTCGGTTTATGAGGATTGATTGCTGGCAAGTTCAATCACTGAAAATCTTTTTAAAAAAATGGCGCTCATATTATAAAGTTGCTTATCAATATAATAATAACAAAGCTTTATCAAAAAAGGGGTCTCATAGCCATTGCAGTTTTTGATGCTCTTTCGAACAAAAAAAGAAAAATATTTCACTTGGTATCAGATTATAGTTGACTTTTGACTAGAGATGCATCGTTCGAGCATCACTCTGAGAAAAAAACGAAAAAGATTTTTAGGTTTTTCGAATAGAGATTGTCAAAAAAATCTTGAAAACGTTTCGAAAAAAATAAAAAGTTTTTATTTTTTATGAAAGAGCAAATGACAGGCTATCGCTCCATGTATATTTGTCAATTTCAATGATTCTGACGAAAAGTGACTTTTTTGAGGGGGACTTAATTAAAAATTAGAATGCACTTCGATCATATAGTTATGATAAGAATCTCAAATCCTGCTGTTCGATTATATGAAAAAACTTGTTTTTTTGGAATTTTGTATGTATCGTCGTCCTTATGGATAAACAGACGTTAAAATTTTTTTCAAGGGAACTTGTCCCTGCTGTTCTATTCAGGATAAAATAAAATCTCATTTTTGACTGGCAAATGATCCATTCTTGATATAATTCATATAAAATTTGAATGATCCTTCGAAATAGAAATATTTATTTATTTTTTATACAGACTAAATTTTGCTGTTTTTCTCATCAAGATACGATAATACTAAAAATTAAGTATTGACTAACGTTTTGAATGAGTAACATTACAAGTTAAAATATTCAAGTTCATTATGTTGCATATGAACAATTCGAATGCCTAAAAAAAATACGAAAACACATTTTTTCGTTGAATGTCTCCTAAATTGTTATCATTCTTGATGCTCTTATAAAGACTTTTTTTGTAAGAATGTAGAAATTAAAAAGCAAAAACTGTTTATTTTTTTAGCAATTTAAAGCTCATGATCGTTTTCATCCAACGTCATCAGAAATCTATGCTGAACTAGATCGATTATCTTCTGAATTAATTCAACACGATCATGGACTTGATTCAAGTTGGATAACTCGTTCAATGAAAGAAGATGAAATTATTGAATCGGTTTTATGTGGACATAGTGAGAAATTAGCAATTGCATTTAATTTCATTCAACAACCTATTCCATCGATTATTCAAATTACTAAAAATCTTCGTGTCTGTGGTGATTGTCGTAAGTTAATTATATTTGTTTTCGCTACCTTAAATAATTATTTGATGATTATTCTTCTTAGATGAAGCTAGAAAGTTGATCGCAAAAATTCGACAACGTCATATTATTGTTCGTGATGCTAATCGTATTCACCATTTCTATTCAAGTGGACAATGTTCGTGTCAAGATCATTTTTAATATTTTTTATAATAAACTGAAGGTTAAAAGATTATTTTTTTTTTAATTTCATTTTTCATTAACTAATACAAATCTCAAAGATTTTGTCGTCAGTTTATTCACAAGATAATTCTCTACTGTACAAATACGTTTGATTTGTATTCTATACATTTTTTCTTAGTTAAACACCTTTCAAATAGTTCAAAGTTGGCTGGACTAAATTCGATATTGCTCATGAAGCGTTTAGAATCAAGTGACGAAGAATTATCTAGCTCTCGATTTTTCATGATTACTCAAAATTTTCAATAAAATGAATAGAAAACAATTCTTTTTTTTTACCAATATAAAATGTGGGTGTAGATATGACGAAAACACACGTACAAATACGCATACACTCATTATTAGATAATCCAAAGACAAACTATTAAACAAAAGTTGAAAAGTTTTATATATTTCGGTGAATATATATATATGGATAAATAAGCGGGAAAAAAGCAAAGTTTTATTGTCTATTGAAATTTTGTTTTTATTTTAATTTACAAATATTCAAATGAAGGAGGATAAACAACACACAATGATATTTGATTATATCAAAACTAGCAAAGAAGCTTATATGACATTTCTATAGATGAATGTCTTTCAACAACGAAGACTTTTCCAAAACTGCAATGTTATTCATTTAAGAAAGGATTGACTATATTAAACAGATTAAAAATTACTAACCAGGGAATCTCGCGAAGTGATAAATCGCTTTTGAACTGAGACTTCACTCTTCGCCTAGGTCCTATTGAGACTAGAAAAGCCTGGAATGATTCGTGTCCATGAGTCTTTTCTTTCGAGTTATAGTCATTTTACTGCTGTTTTTGATCTGTTGTAGGATACTGGAGACCAAATTGAAAGAGGATATTTTGACCTGAATTTTTGCCCATAGAAAGCTCTCATAATAGTTACAATGCACTAAAAGTTTCAACAAAAAAAAAACAACGTTTCGTCCCTGAGATGGTGCGTTTTCAAAAAATCTGACCTTTTGACTCTTCGGTTAAATATATGCTTTTTTTTAGAAGACCATTATCTCAGGAACAAAAAGTTCTTTTTCACTGGAATTTTTGGCATATCGTAACTATTATGAGAGCTTTCTATAGGCAAAAACTCAGATCAAAATATCCTCTTTCAATTTGGTCTCCAATGTCCGACAACAGAACAAAAAAAAAGCAGCAAAATGACAATAACTCGAAAGAAAAGACCCATGGGCACGAGTCATTCTAGGCTTTTCCTAGTCTCAATAGGACCTAGATAATGAGCGAAGTCTCAGTTCAAAAGCGATTTATCACTTCGCGAGGTTTCCTTGTAAGATAAACTTGTATATATGTTCAATAAAATATTATTCTATAAATACCAAAACTACTTCTTGCAATTATCAATTCAATTCGTTCTTTCAAACAATGATTCTTTTCATGATTTTGATCACAGAAAATAAACACCTGTTTCATTTCATCTGAATCAGTATTCGTTTATTTCTATTAATTACTACTGAAGAATCAAGATCATCCAGATATATTATGTAAAATTTTACTTACAAAAAATAAATACAATAGGTCAGGGTGTGGGTGTGTGGGTTGGATGTAGGTGTGGATGTGGGTGGGTGCGGGTGTGGGTGTGGGTGGGTGTGGATGTGGGTGTGGATGGGTGTGGGTGTGGGTGTGTGGTATGAGTGTGGGCGTGGGCGTGGGTGTGGGCGTGGGCGTGGGTGTGTGGTATGAGTGTGGGCGTGGGTGTGGGCGTGGGTGTGGACGTGGGTATGGGTATAGCTTCTTGCTTTAACGATACTCATACTCATACCCACACCCACACCCTTTTTCAGAATAGCACTTCTCAAACTTGTACAACATTTCACTAAAGTACATGGAAAAGTTTTATTCTATGAAGTTATATAAAAGAAAAATAGGTCGCACTATACTCGCAATATGAAAACCTAATTCATTTTTAAAACAACGCTGTCCGACCAAGGGCAAAATTTTCTCTAATGTTTTCCAGCCTGTCTTCTAACTATAGGAGAAACGCCCAGTTACCAAACTTTTTTAACAATACATCCTAGAAGTCTTGAGGAAAACTCTAGAAGATCATGCCCGGAGAATCGAGCTTTCATAGAAGCCATCGTATTTTTTAGAAAAATGATTCTGATATTCATAAACCACTCACTGATCCGCATCGATGCATATATATCTCATGATGGTTCAATGAACTTTTCTTTTTTCTTTCAACGTAAACTAAGTCCATAAATCTACCGTTAAGGACTATTCAAATCTTACGAAAACTTCGCATGCGATCGAACACAAATTTTTTTCAGATAATCCTGAATATGCCCCCTAGCAATAGACGAAGTGCCAACTCATAATATAACAAGCACAGAATTTTAGAGAGACTTTGCAAAACCATGCATGATTCTGATCGGCAACCGGGCTTTCTGAAAATCTGTTTTATTTTCATAAAATACTGAGTTAACATTCAGAATCGGCTAATCAATCCTCATCGAACGATATATAGATGAAAGGTGCTTGTAGAGCTTTTAGTTTTTTTGAAAATGTTTTACTAGGACAAATCAAGTCCGACAAGATCCCGTTTACGACTACCTTAATTGTAGGAACGCATCAAGTGCGATTGAGCGCATATTCACATCGGATGATACCACTTATGTTTCCTACCTATTGAAGAAGTTTCAATTCATGAAATTATACTAGAGGACTTCCGAGTGGATTGCCAAAAAACCAGCTAGATTTTTGTAGAAACTCTGGATTCCCGAAGCTATGTTTTACTTTCTTGAAAAACTAACGTAAGATACCATTTCAAATGAGATAATCAATCCGCATCGAATGTTATATGTATCATGTTGCTTCAGGGCATCTTTGATTTTTCGGAATTTTTTTCTCACGAACTGGTGAGTACGTTTATTATAGAAAAGGACCATTTTAGGCTCATCTTCCAATAAGGTGCCTCAAACCATTCTACAACGGCCCAGGCCAATTCTTTCATGTACTTGGCGTAGATCCTCTGAGCCACAAGAACTACACAGAGAGCTAAATTTTTTATCACAGTGAGTACTCAATGAGATCTATCTTTGACCTAAATTTCAGCTCTTTAGCATGATTCATTCATGTAATATGTATATGCACAAAATACCATAAAATGACAGTGTTGTCTAGCTTCTGATGGTATCGGTCAACTCATCAACGGTTCATTCACTTTTCCGCTCAATTTTTGTTCGACTAACACTTCAGCCTGAGATGTACTCACACTGAAAATTTCAAATCTAACGGATGCATCCTTGATGAGATATGAATGCCATAGAAAATCACAAAAGATGTGCTTTTTGAGCGGCAGTGTCCTCACGAAAGTTTAAATATCTTGAGAACGATACAACATTTTTTCGAACGGCTTGGGTAGAAATTCACCAGACACTTACCCCCATAACATATATAAAAACTAACCATATCGGTGATCATTGATTGAGCATGATCGGTCATGGCTAATACGGATTGCGTCTTATGTCTAAAATGTATATATCTTGCAATTCGAGTATCTCTATCCAGACTCGCCATCAGCACGTCATATTTTATATTTGCCATTTTGGCAGTAAGACCTTTGATTTGATCCGAATATCTCCAATTTCCGTGACTCACAGTACGCTACGTTCCATTATCAGTATTTTGAATTTTTCTCAGTGATAACGCCCACTAAAAAGTACAAAGTAAAATGCACTTACTTTTATATGCGACAATGAGTTCTCTTCTTTTCTTTCCTGTCTCCAGCAAAACAAGCTGACACGTTACAGCTAACTCCAAAACGTGCACATCTTAACTTTGTATTGTTCTCTTATCTTATCTTGTGTGCTGCTTAAAAACACTCACTCATTTATTTTCAACACAAGACAACGAAAAAATGAGTGAAACCTCCTACTCCAAACTTGTGCAATCAACAGCATCGCTCACGAATGAAATTTTTAATCTATGTCGAAACGGTTTACTTGAGCAACTCGAAACTCTATTAAACACAGTCAAAACATCACTACCTCTCAATGAACGAGTAACTTTTCGTCCTACTGACTTGCTCTTACTTTTCACTACACACTCATTGACTTCACTTATTATTGCATCACAGAATGGACATGCTAATATCATTGAATTTCTATTGAAAAATTATCGATCTCAAATTGATATTGAGAAAGAAGGAACAATCAATTTTGATATTCTCTCTAGTGAAGATTACAATCTGACGGCATTGTGGATTGCAACAACTGGAAATCATTTTGAATGTGTACGTCTGTTAGTTGAATTGGGAAATGCAAATGTTAACTATTGTACAACAAATACAAAAGTTTCAGTTCTACAGGCAGCAACTCAAACTGGAAATTTAGAAATGATAAAGTATTTGAAAGAAAAGGGAGGAAGTTTAGAAGTACAGAATAGTGATGGATTTACACCGTTAATGGTTGCTTCACTTTGTGGTTACAAAGAAATTGTTCAATATTTATTGTCGAGTAACGAAGACTCTCTTGTAACATTAAATCTTCAAGAGAAAGATGGAAGAAGTGCACTCCACTTTGCAGTTATTTCTGATCAGTTAGAAATAGTTAAACTTATAAATGAATCGAAGTATGTTGACAAACAGTTGAAAGATAAAGAAGGATTCACTGCACTAGTAACTGCTGCCGTCACTGGAAATGACCTCATTTTTGATTACTTTATCGAACAACATAATGCAGATGGTAGATCACTCGTTCAAATTATTGAAGAACTGGAGCTAGCTGGAAGTTCGTGTGGTGTAATTGGTAAGAATGAGGACCAGGAAGAGGCTGACGATGATGATGACCGCAGTGACGACAGTGATGACATGATCTCTAACTCAGAAAAAGTGTATCGTTGCTTTCTATACGCAATGAAATTACGTTTTACAAGTGTAGCAGCCGATGAAACAATTGAAAAAGTCAATCTTCGATCAATACCAATCGACATCTATGAAAATCG